TTACCTGGATCAGCATCATTTCTCATTATCATGCCTCCATCATTTCCTAGCTTCTCACCTTTTCTTTGACCAACTGTTACATGCATGAGCTTTTCTCACCTTCATTCCATACATCATTCCCTATCATCAGTTCTAAGCAAAAGCCAAAACATGCTTTAAGAATGCACACAGAGACCCACAAGGGAGAGGGCAATAAATCAGGACAGGACCTCAAAATTTAATAACTGATTATTTATGCTATATCATTTTGCAATTCCTACAAACTCTGAAATCAAAAAGACCTTAATGAAGTATCCCTTGCCTAACACAATTCCTGATACGTGGTTGGTAATAATAGCTATTTTGCTGAGTAAATTACTGAGTGTTTATTCATGGTACTCAAAGCATCAGAATTCAGTAAACTATAGAGTTTAAGAAACTTCAAAATAGCAGTCTTCACCTTTGGCCATGCATTTAACTGATTTTTTTCTATTATTGCTTTTGGAAACTCATTTGTATAAAATCTGTAAGTTGTCATCAAGTGATTAGCAAGTGATTCTCTCTGGTTGGGGCGGGGGAGCTGCCCTATCAAAACAAACGATAGAGGGTAAATTTTCTGATGTGAAATAGGGCTTCTGCCTGACCAACCTCAGTGCTCCCAGAATGTCCAGTATAAACAAAAGGCATGGACTTTGGAGCTTAATGTCACTAGGAGTCCTAACTCTTCTAGTTACGAGGGCATGATAGTGGGTCTGCTCATGAGCCTCACTTAATCTCATCCTTAAAATGGAGATGGTAATAATACCTTTTCTGTACCTCCCTCATTCTGTCCATTGGAAAATTTCTTCAATGTTACTTTCAAAAAATATCCTGAAATCCACTACCATTCATCTCTACTGGTAACTGTCTACAAAATCAGAAAGTCTCTGAGAAGTAGAATATAGAATAATAACAAATATGGATTTGTCAGTCCTATCTTGATTTAAAAGTGCAAGTTTTAATTATGTATGTACTGACTAAGAGCCTTGCAGAAAGAGACTGCTCTTTCATGAACCAAAATTGCCTTGCTCATTCAGGTGCATTTCTGTAAGGAGATAAAATATCACTACTTGGTGAATTAAACAGAATAGATTAAATCAGACTAAATATGATAATGCTGTGTCTTCTACTGTATCTTATAGATCTCTCCTAGAAGATGCAGCTATTCAAAGGTCAGGACTAATGTTATTTGCTATAAAATTTCATAATAATTTAAATAATTAAAAAAATAAGTATTCTCTGATAAATTCATTTTTGTTTACGAAAAGTCCTAGTCTCTCAGGAAGTGTAACCTCTAACCCCAAGGCTTGTGTTGACTCCAAAGCAAGTAAAACATGTTTTTTCCTCTTAAGTACATAGTTCTAAAACATGTCTATTATAGGAAATAATGTTGATTCATAAAATATTTCAATTATTTACTTGTAGATACATCTTTTTTTCCTTCTTCCTTTCTTCATTTCCTTCAAATATGTTTATCTATATAATATCTTTGGGTATATAGATATACTTTTCCCTTGTGAAAGCTCTGGTAGAAGAAAAGGGATGTCTCCCTTCAGTTGCTTGTGCTAAAGAGGTAACTCTGATTTTTATCCAAACACAATGCAAAAACACCAGTATCTCTCACAGCTGCAAAAGCTTCCTGACTGGTATTCTTGCTTCATTCTTGCCCCATTCTCCATCTGTTGCTTTCAAAAATATCTATCAGATCATACCACCCCAGTACACTAAAGCACTTTCCACAACACTTAGACGAAAACCCAAACTTCTTGCTCTGTAGGTCACATCTGATCTGACTCCTACCTCTGCCTCTGATCCCATCTCCTCTTCTCTTCCACTTGCACAGCTCTTGCTGATGTTCCTTGGGCATAGAGCTCATGGCCATCACATGGTTTTGGTGCTGATGCTGCCCCCAGATCTTCACCTGGCCGGCTCCTTTTCATCTCTCAGGTCTTGAAGTGTCATTCCCACCGGGATACTTCCTTGACCTTTATCTGAACTGCTCCCCACATCCATTAAATCAGTATTAATATTTTCTTCTTCCTCTTCTTTTAAAAAATTTTTTTATTTATTTTTCTTCTTGTTATTTATTTATCAATTTATTTGGCTGTGCCAGTCTTAGTTGTGGCATGTGGGATCTTTAGTTGTAGCATGCAAACTTATAGTTGGCGACACATGAGATCTAGTTCCCTGACCAGGGATCAAATCCGGGCCCCCTGCATTGGGAGCATGGAGTCTTAGCCACTGGCCCACCAGGGAAGTTCCAGTCTCATTTTCTTCTTAACACGTATCACCACTCGATATTTATTTATGTATACTGCCTCTCTCCTTTAGAATGTTGAAGTTCCATGTGGGTAGGACTTTTTCTGTCTTGGTCACTATTTCATATCCCCAGTGTCTAGTAAACTTGCCTGGCACATAGGCATTCATTAAATATTTGTTTAATGAACAAATGAATGAAGAGATTTATGGGCACTAGTTTTCTCACTGGGATAGTTGCAAGTTAATATAGAGATAATATTTATTGTATCTGCCAAACTTAAGCATTCAACAGTGGGCAGCTCCTGGAGGGCTTTGAACTCTGCTTTATTCCCTCTTGGAGAGAAATAGTGTTTATTGAAGGAGGATTGCCTAAAGGATGTGCGATGCATCCATTCCTCCAGATTAATTCATTTATTCATTCACCCAATGTTTATCATTAAGAACCTGGTATGTGTTCTAGACAGCAGGAATAAAACAGTGAACAAAACAATCAAAAAGAAAAAAGGAATCCTAGAGTTTACATTCTAGTCCATGAGGCAAACACTAACCTCAATAAATAAATGATATCATATGGAAAGTGCTCTGTGGAGAAAATGCAAGGCAAGGAAAGAGGGAGTGGTGGGCAAGGTGGTTGCAATTTTAAATAAGATGGTCAAGAATAGCCTCATTAAGCAAAACCTTGAAATAGGTAAGGGAGCCATGTGGGTGGAAAAGATGGTGGGGAGAGGGAAGAAGTGATTGTCTACAGGGTAGATTGGAATAGCTGCAAGGAGGTCAGCATGCCTGGAGCAGAGTAAGTGAAGGGTGGCAGAGGAGGAGTAGAAGAGGCAATCTGGAAATCATAGGGGCCATGCAGACCATCAGGAGAACTTTGGTTTTTATTCTGAGTGAGCTGGAAAGCCACTGGAGGATTTGAGCAGAGAAATAACATGCTATGACTTATATCATAGCTATCATGGGGACTCTGTATTTGGAGAGAAGGGGGACAGTATTGGAAGCAGAGAGAACATTTAGGAGGCTATTGAAGAACTTGCACAAGAGGCAAAGTTTGCTTGGACAAGGGTAGTAGAGGTTAAGATGGTGAAAGGAAGATTCAGGATACAGGTAGAGTCAACAGGATAAATCCTGAGATGCAGGTGGGAGGGGAAAGCAATGAGAAAGGGAGAATATGAAACCAAGCTTACTAGGGACATGTAATAGGATTGCTTAGCAGTATGGAAGGCCATTCTGATGTTTGAAATCATGATTTTAAGATGAAACCAGACAGTCTGATTGAATGATTTTTCCAGGAACATCTAGCTGCTCCGGTACAGGCAAAGAGTAAATGGATATTATCGTTTATCCAGAACTGGAGTTTTTCAAGGTAAGGTTGAGTGAGAGAGAGAAAGGGAGTGATATTATAAAGATGGATGGTAGGATACAGTTCAGTCAAGGAAGGAAGTGAAGATGAGAGGGCTCAAGAACAGTGAAACACTGGCAATGAAGATACTTGAGCAAGTCAGCTGGAGAAAAGAGGGTTTAAATTTGAGATTTCAAATGTAGTATAACTTCTGGTAGTGACAGGTTGGTAAGGTAGAAGGGAATGAGGTCTTTGGAGATGACGAGGTCAGAGACTGAGACACCAGAATGTTGATATCACCCAGGGTGGAGATAGCGTTCTGAAGGAGGAACAGAACAGGTGGAGGTGTTGGGGAAGCAGCACTCAGAAAGCATGGAAGCTCCCAGCCCTTCCTACATACCTTGCCCTGTGCATTGCTTCCACCTGGCTGTTCCTGAGTTATATCCTCTTATAATAAACTGATCTAGTGAGTAAAGTATTTCTCTGAGTTCTGTGCATTGCTCTAGCAAACCAGTCAAATCCAAAGAGGGGATCATTGAAACCTCCAATCTATTATGGTTACTCAGAAGCACAGATGATGACCTGGACTTCCAATGGGCATCTCAGGTGGTGAGGGGACAGTCTTGTGAGACTGAAGCCTTAATCTGTAAGATCTGATGCTATCTCCAAGTAGACAGTCTCAGACCTGAGTTGAATTGTAGGACACCCAGCTGGTGTTAGCATTGCTGGTTGGCAGGGAAACCCCTGGTTTCAGTTTAGGAACTGGATGCTCAGACCTTTTAGCAGCAGGAGTCTGGTTTCACCCTCATGCTTTTTTTCTACAGAGTCTGGTTAGTAGGGGGAGTGGGCTCGACCCAATCTTCTTCTCTTCTCAAAAGCACACCTTTCAGAGAGCACATTAAGGATGGGACTGTAGCACTAGGGATGAACTTCATCCTCCACTCCCCAAAGTTACTAAAAATTGATGAGAGGAGTCAGGACTGGTTAGATAGCCCTAATGCAGTAGCTTGCTTGTTTTTTTAAATTTTTCACAGTGCTGGGTCTTCATTGCTGTGCGAGGGCTACTCTTCAGTTGCGGTGCTTGGGCTTCTCATTGTGGTGGCTTCTCGCTGCTGAGCGTAGGCTCGAGGCGCGGGGGCTTTGGTAGTTGCAGCATGAGGTCTCAGTAGTTGTGTAGGGGCCTAGTTCCCCCCACGTCATGTGGAATCTTCCCAGACCAGGAATTGAACCTGTGTCCCTGGCATTGGCAGGTGGATTCCTAATCACTGGACCACCAGGGAAGTCTCAAGAGTGTTTTGATTATGTAAATACTGCAAGGGAAAAACTAACCCAAGGTGAGCCAGAAGTTTTGTGTGATTGAAAGATGATTCAGTAAGCTTTCTGTTTAGGAAAAGAACCAAGTCCAAGATTCTGGGAGCTTTCGGTGATCTGGTGGGTCGAAGAGGCGTTCAAAGAGAAAGTTACCTAGGAATGAGACAGTCAAGGTGGAAGGGTATCTAAATAAAAGCACTGTGACCAAAATAAAGACAAGCTTGGGGCTTCTGTGGTGGCCTAGTGGTTGAGAATCTGCCTGCCAATGCAGGGAACACGGATTCGATCCTTGGTCTGGGAAGATACCACATGTCTCTGGGCAACTGAGCCTATGCGCCACAACTACGGAAGCCCACATGCCCCAGAGCCTGTACTCGGCCCCAACAGAAGCCACTGCAACGAGAAGCCCATGCACCACAACAAAGATGAGCCCCTGTTTGCTACAACCAGAGAAAGCCCACTCTGAGAAAGCCTGGCAACGAAGACCTAGCACAGCCAAAAATAAATAAATCATCTGGAAAAAAAAAAAGACAACATTCTGAGGATGAGAATCCCCCATGGGCAGTTGTAGACACAAATATTATATAAAGGCAAGCAGAATCATTTTCAAGTGATGTAGATGGGCTATCCTTCAGAAGAAAAAGGGGGGAGTGCCAAGAACTCAAGACAAAACAGCTTGTGGTGGTGGTGCTTAGGGAGGGTGGGAGGTGGGAAGCAGGTAACAGACCAAGGGCTACTTACCAGTGATTGCATTGAAAATTCATGCACATACAGGGAATCATATTCAATATCCTTTGATAAACCACAATGGAAAAGAATATGAAAAAGAATGTATGTATAACTGAATCACTTTGCTGTACAGTAAAAATTAATACATTATAAATAAACTACACTTCAATAAAACAATTTTTTAAAATGTGTACATGGACCTCCAGATGGAATTTCTCCTATTTATGAACCACTCCAAGAATGCAGAGGGAACTGTCTCCTTAGGAGTGGACTTGAGATAGAGAACCCAGATCTAAATCACTTTTCTTGAACAAGCAGACTCACTTATCTTCTATTTCCTACCACAAAGGGCAGTCTGGGTCACATGTAAGAGATGGTTGCCCAAGGCTAGTCAGGCAGATTTTCTTCCCTAAAGGGACTTAAATCACTGTCAGTCTCCTTGTGGAAAAGTACAAGTTTTCCCACAGATCATGAAGCAAATAACTAATTGATCTCTAGGGAACTTTCTTTCTCCCAGTGACTTGAAGCTTAATTGCAAGATCTTCACAGATCAATGGGGTCATCCTTAGATTCTAAAAATAAATTAGCTTCTTAAAGATACATGCATTGAAGCATTTTTGTTTGAGAGTGTTGAGAAATCAAATAATACAACGGCCAATCTCTATTATAAGCCAGAAAATTTGATTTAGAATAGTATGGAATCTTCTCATTGTTAATACACAGACATGCTACCGACAACTACATTTCTCAAAGCCCTTCGCTTCTCACCCTCCCCCAACCATCTGAATTCATATAGATCCCTCTTCAAGGAATACGTGTGACACAGCATGTGCCAAGAGTGGACAAGTGTCCTCGTTGCTAGAAGATAACTCCCATCTGGGGGCCCTTGTACTGAAGACTACCTTATCTCTCCCAGCCACCTTTGCATAGCACAGAAGTGAGACAGCTAGGGGCTCCCAGATGAAGTCTAATCCTTGCCCACATAGTTTAGTAAATATTTATTAAGTACGGAAGATGATTTTCCACGTGTTGACATCTACCATTCTAATAACATCATTTGAACTTAATGAGTCTTCGTGGCATTTTTACATTTTATTTTTGGCTGTGCTGGGTCTTCACTGCTGCCTGTGGGCTTTTCTCTAGCTGCAGAGAGTCGGGGCTACTCTAGTTGTGTGCAGGCTTCTCTTGTTGTGGAGCACGGGCTCTAGGGTCCACAGGCTTCAACAGTTGCAGCACGCAGACTCAGTTGTTGGCTGCCGGGCTCTCGGGCACAGGCTCTAGAGTTGCTTAGCTGCTCTGTGGCGTGTGGGATCTTCCTGGAGCAGGGATCAAACCCTCATCTCCTGCACTGGCAGGTGGATTCTTTACCACTGAGCCACCAGGGAAGCCCTTTCATAGTATTTTACTGCTATCCTCTTCTGCAGAAAAGGTAGTAAGGAAACTTTCTGGAGGGCAACTAGGCACCATTTGCATCAAGAACTTAAAACTGCTGGGATTAGCAGATGCAAATTACTATATAGAGAATGGATCAACAGCAAGGTCCTACTGTATAGCACTGGGAACTACACTCAATATCCTGTAATAAACCATAATGGAAAAGAATATTTTCATATTCTTTTCCATTATATGTATGTATATATATATATATATATATATATATATATATACACACATATATATATACGTATAACTGAATCACTTTGCTATACAGAAGTTCACACAGCATTGAAAATCAACTACACTTCAATCAACTAAATTAAAAAACCTTAAAACTGTTATCCCACTTCCAGCAATTTACTCCAAGAAAATAAACACAAATGCCATGATATATGCATAAGGATATTCATTGCAATATGTATAACTGTGGAAAAAAGAGCACACAAAATGATAAATAAAACAAATAGTTTAATTAAGGTATACCCATAATAGGGTATTATAAAACTATTAAAATGACATTTTGTACGAGAAAGTGCTTAAGATATTAATAAAGTGAAATGCAGGATATAAAACTATATACAGTATTATCCCAATTTGGAAAAAATTGTACATTTAATATATTTGCACACATAGAAAAAGACTAGAAGACAATTGATCCACATGGAAGAAGTTTGATTTTTTTTCTTTATATTTTATGACTTCCACTTTATCAGAGAATAATTTTTTTTTAAGAACCAGAGGCTAAGAGAACCAATATTTCAAATACCCATCATGTGGAAGGCACTGAGCTAGGAATGTGACCAATTATCTAAGCTCCATAGCAGTCAGGAGAGGTCAGACAGCCCTAGTGGTAAAGAACCCACCTGTCAATGCATGAGGGATGTGGGTTCGATCCCTGGGTGAGGAAGATCCCCCAGAGACGGAAATGGCAACCCACCGCAGTATTCTTGCCTGGGAAATCCCATGGACAGATGCCACAGTCTGTGGGGTTGCAAAGAGTCAGGCACGACTGAGCACACACACAAAAGCATCTCCATGGCTGGTTTACAGATGAGAAACTGAGGCTCTGTTATGGAAGCCTGGAATCTATTTGCTCAGGTGCCTTGGACTCATGCCCAGGACAGTGCCCATGTCCCCTGCCTCACCAGTATGGTTCCTAGCAGGCCCACAGGAGGGTTGCAGTGAAGGTCACTGACAAAACAACTGTGACAGCTTGCCCTAGAGAAAGGCCTTATCTTGCTTTCTAAACTATTCACATCTTCCTCCAGAAGCAGACAACTTCCTGCCCCCTGGAAAAGAAACACAGGCCTCTTCATTGGGAAGGTTTGAGCTCCACTGTGAAACAGTTTTTATCCATGTGTCCAGCTCCACATGCCTGCACCCTCTGAGACCATGGTGTCTGCTGTCCTGCTTATTGGTTTGGCATTTTGTCAGGCTGTGAGCAGAAGGACAGGGCGGAACGTCACACCCCCACCCCTTCCACCAGCTGGCTTCTTGGTCTCTGCCCTGGATACTAAAACCAACAGGCTGTGTCCTCTGGCTCTCAACCTGAGGATGGGGGAGGGGAGATACAGAGTGGAAGCGGGGGACAGCAAGGATCCCAGCTATGTGACCAATCAGGACTACCTGGCAGCATATTTGATCTCTGTAACCTTATTTTGCCAAACAGTCGGGGCCTCCAGGTGGCTGAGAGGCCCATTCTAACCCTCAGCCTAATTGTCGGCTGAGCTCCAGGTACTGCCTTGGTGAGGGGCGTCCAGTCCCCCCAGCTGGCTCTCTTCCAGGTAGGTCCCCAGGGACACTAACTGCAAACTCTCATGGAGGAGAGGTGGAATTTTTCTCCCCTTTTCTAAGGACGTTCATCACTTCCTGTCCCTCCCTGGGGCAGACACAGGAAGTGACTTAGATGGAGTCAGTGACAGTTAAGCCTGGAGCATGCTGCCTGGGTCACCACTCTATCTTCCTGTATCACAGTTCCCGAATTCAAGAACAGAACTACCTAGGGGCTTTTATCTAGGAAGAGACAGAAGGGGACATGGGGAATGACACATGACATACAAAACAGTGGTTATAAACTGGTCCTTTCTGAAAAGACCCTTCATCTCTCTCTGCAGTCACAAAAGAGGATTACATGTTCAAAAAGGTTACAGAAATACTGGGCTAAACAAAGTTAAATCGATTAAGTTCCTATAGGACTTCTCAAAACCTTTAAGTGCTCACAAATACTGTAAAGGTATTAGAATGGAAAGTGTTTCTTAAACACCAAGTCAATTAGAGAACTAAGGATTCCATAAGCACCAGGAGTCCAATGAACACAACTTGAGAAGTGTTGTTACAGGGTGGGCCTGTAACACAGAAAAGTAAGGCCCCAAATAAGCCATCTGCCACTATTTTCAAAAGTACAGTAGGGCTGTGGCACTGCCCATTTCTTAGTGGTGGAAATACAAAGAGTGCTAACTTTGAAAATAAACAACTCTTGATAAGTTAAAAAAAAAAGTGCAGAGTTGGATCAAACAAGGTTTTCATTCTGTACTCTCCCATCTGTACTCAAGAGTTTATGGTATTTTTCCACTTGCTGGTCGAAGACCCTGGGAGAAAATCCTGTCTGGATAAAGTCCACTGGAGTCAGAAGGTATTTGAGTGCCAGGCCCCTGAGCTCAGGAGCCAGAAGAGGGGCAGGCTCACTGCTGGGAGACAGGGGAGAATCCTGGCCCATCCAGGCTCTCTGGTTCTCTGTGGCTGCTGAGGCCACACTGTCTCCCACGGGTACCAAGTAGGGCCCTACACCAGTTTCCTCCCCAGGTTCTGGAGAAAGAAATTTCTCATTTGTAGACCTTAAGTGGACCGGAAAACCCGAAGGGGTAGTTAATACAGTCACCATCTTCTGGGACTCAGAGGAAGGGACTGCCCCCTCCCATTCTCGGCTGCAGGCATCTGGGAACGACTGCTTCTTGATTCGCAAAGGATGGTGGGAGGGCTGCTTCTCCAGCTTCCCAGCCAGGTTCTCAGTCTTGGCCTTCGAGTCCCTGTCAGCCTGAGAGTGATCAGCGTCTTCCTCAAGGGATTCAAACACGACACCCTGGGTTCTCAGTCTCTTGAGCTTCCTTTCTAAAAACGGCCAGAGAAAACTTGGTTTTCTGGAGGAGGAACTCATGTATTGCTGTACAGAGTCTGGAATCAGGGGCACAGAGAGCCTGGGGCTCAAGCTGTCCTGGAAGTAGTCCCTACAGGGCTGTCGCCGGACAATGGGGACCACCTGGCAAGGCTTCAGGGCTGCGACAAAGACACGGAGCTCCGCGTAGGAGGAGTGGTCAGAGTAAGGGATGACGTGGATACTCGGGTGGGAGCGGTAGATCTTCCGGCTGGTGGGGAGGACAGCGATGGTAGGGTGGGTCTGGTTCCAGCGCAGCATGGCGGAATGGCAGATCTCCATGTGGTCCACAGCATGGATGCGGCCAGCCTTCTCCTCCACTGTAAACACATCTGCCAGGCCCAGCAGCTGTACCAACTCCAGGCGCCGAGGACTCAGGACCACCCAGGTCTGAAACTCCAGGGCCAGACGCTCCAGCAGCGACTCTTTTCCCAGGCTGTAAAGTCCTGAATAATGTTAAAGAGAGTGGGGAAACTAACAAAGGAAGACAATGAGGCTATGTCACTGTAGTTGTTGTTCAGTTGCTAACACATCCAGCTCTTCTGTAATAGCTCAGGGACTGGAGCCCGCCAGGCTCCTCTGCCCATTGGATTTCCCAGGCAAGAATCCTGGAGTGGGTAGCCATTTCTTCCTCCAGGGGATCTTCCTGACACAGGGGCTGAACCTGCGTCTCCTGCACTGGCAGGCGGATTCTTTACCACTGAGCCACCAGGGAAGCCACAATGACTAAGACTACGTGCTTAGTCACCCAGTTGTGTCTGACTCTTTGTGACCCCAAGGACTGTAGTCCACCAGGCTCCTCTGGCCATGGAGGATTCTCCAGGTAAGAATACTGGAGTGGGTTGCCATGCCCTCCTTAATGAAGCTATGGGGGAATCCTAATAAGTCAACAAAGTGTTTAAAAATACACAAAATTAGTGGGACTATCCCCTGTTTGTATATCAGGAAGGAGGTGCATGTGAGCTAGGTATATGGAGGATGGGGCTTCCCAGGTGGCTCAGTGGTAAAGAGTCCACCTGCCAATCTAGGAGATGCAGGCAGTGGGGAAAATCCCCTGGAGGAGGAAATGGCAACCCATTCCAGTATTCCTACCTGGAGAATCCCATGGACAGAGTAACCTGGCGGGCTACAGTCCATGGGGTCACAGAGGGTGGGATGGGGTAGGGAGAAATTTAACACAGAATCCACTCATTCATTCAGCTCAGCAAAGGAACGCACCTACCAAGTGTTTAGCACTGTGAAAACAAACAACAATCAGTTAGAAGGTCCAAATAGTACTCAGAAAGAAAGAAACGGAGGCCTGAATTTGGATAATGCTTACGGTAACAGGTACGGGAGATACTATTTAAGCAGTTGTTCACAGACCTTTTCTGAAGGTATTTCAAGTCTATAGTCAGATTGTGACCTCCTTTAAAGAATCTGTATTTCCTTTATATCTACTTTATTCCTCATCATGATTCAAAATCTCACTCTTTGGGCACAAATGCAGCTGATTTCACTCTCCCTATCCCCCCCTCACCCTTTTGAAAAAGAACCTATTCTAGGCCCTTTACTACTATAGACTTTAAGCCCTCATATTTTATTCATTTTTCTATTCCCACTGCCTATCAGAATATTTGACACATAGTATGGGCTTATTGTATATCTGAAAAATTAATCAAGCCCTTCTGTATAACCCTCCTAGCCAGCTATGCCTCCTCTAGGAAAATTCTGTGTTAAAAACTCCAAGAAGACTTAGGACTGGTATTCCTTCATGAAGTCAAGCAATCCTGAAAGAGAATATCTCTCCATCAATTTGGTGTCACTCTGGAAGGTATATAATTTGTTTTCAATGCCTCTGTTTAAGCCTATTTTGAAACTCCTTTCAGAGTTGCAGCATATCCTTTTAAAATATTCATCATGATGGCAAATCTTCTTCCTTTTGTGGATTTATTACAATTTTGGAAACAATCAAAAAAGTCATTTGGCTTCTCTGGGGGTCCAGTGGCTAAGACTCCATGCTCCCAATGTAGGGGGCCTGGGTTCAATCCCTAGTCAGGGAACTAGATCCCACATGCCACAGCTAAGACCCATCACAGCTAAATAAATTAAAAAATTTTTAAAAAGGTATTTGGAGTTAAATCTATTACATTAAAAAAAATAAAAACCGATTTTCATAAACTATCTCAAAAGACAATTCCAAGAATCCCCAAATGTTTGGTACTCTTGTAGAACTACAAAATCACAAGCAGACAGCTGTGATTTCAATGTATCTAATTGTAAGCATAACACTCACTTGAGCATCTACATTCTGATAAACTGCATTCACTTTCTAACAAATATTTATCAAATTCCTCTATCAGGCATTAATCTAGGCATCTGGCATATATCCGTTAAGTGAAACAAAGAGCCTGTTCATTGTGAAATTTCCATTCTAGCAGGGGGAGACAGATAATAAGAAGTAAATACAATAAACACGTAAACTATGGAATACATTATAAGGTGATTACTGCAATAGTGCCCCTCTCCTACTTAAAACCCTTCAATAGCTTTTTGACCTAAGAGCAATGGTTGCATTTAGGACCAAGTGCAAAATGGCTTACAGGCACTTCAGTCCCTCCTGCCTTTCCAGCCTCCTCAACCACTATGCGCCTGTCACATGGCCTCTTCTCTGTTCCACAAACACATAAGACTTCTTCCCACCTCCAACCATGCTCTCAAGGAATAAATGCATGTGTGGCAGAAGTGGGCAACAATAAGCAACAGTAGAGGAAAACATGAAGTATGTGGGAAGTTGAGTGCCATGAAAAAATGAAAAACTTGAATTGACTTAGGGGATCTGAGGTTGGGAATGTGGGAGCAGAGATGTATTTTTAAATAATAAGGTCAGGGTAGATTTCATGGAGAAAAGGAGATCTGCACAAAGACATGAAAGATGTGAAAACCCCCAAAGAACCTAGATTCACTAGTTCCATGAGTGAGAGAAAAAGGAAAACCCTCACCAATTTTTATGTTATGTTGTGGGTGCTTTCGAATGAGTTCAACAATCTGGCGGGCAGCTTCTTCTTGGGAAGGAAGAACCAGGTCTGGGTTGCAATTGGTATTGTCTAGGTATAAGGTATGAATCTGTTTCCCCAGTCTTAGGGCTGGCTCCTTCAGCATAGATGGTGTATACCGAAAATCACCTGGGGATAAAATATGGGAGGCATAGTCAGAGACAGAAGCATAGAAGACAAGCTTCTCCCAATTCCAACAGCAGATGGGCATTTGCCTATTGGCATCTTGGAAAAAACCTAGCATCTTGGAAAAGTCTAGCAGTGATCTAATGTAGCAGAGTTTCTTTGTGGAAATGTCTCCATCGTGCTCCTGCATTTTCAGTACTCTTTGCAAAGTCTGTACCCTTAAAGAATGAAAAATCAATTGAGAAAGGATCATTCCGCTTATGTGACACGAAGCTAGGAGGCCTCCAGGCTTCTACTATGAGTCAAGGCTACTCAAGAAAAGTAATGTTGGAAATTTCCTGGCAGTCCAGTGGTTAGGATTCAGTGCTTTCACTGCTGGCAGGACTGGTTCAATCCCAGGTTGGGGAAATAGGATCTTGAAAACCATAGGGCTTGGTCAAAAAAAAAAAAAAGTAGTGTCTAGGCTGGGAAAGTGGGAAGGAGCCCTCTAGAAGCCCACCTGTGTAGAGGATGGTTCCAAAGTATCCTTCAAAGAGAAACATGACAGAGCCTGGGCAGTGATTGGCATCCAAGAGGGTGACTGTCATGGTCTCTCGTCCAGCTTCATCTAGAGGCAGGACATGGCTCTCACCAACCTCCAGGGCTCGGATCCACTGCTTAGACACCTGAAGAAACAGCAGGTCATCTCAGGAAACACAGACGCCCCTCCCTGATACCTCCCTGGATCAGAAGCTGTGATAGGGATCACAGTCCTCTCTTCCTTCTCCCTCTCTCTACCCCATCCTTCCTAAAAGGCTAAATTAAGAGTCCAGAAAGCAAGTCTACTCAACCATTTTTCAACTTTCCAAACCATAATAATCCCTTCGAGTGCTGTGATTAGTCACTCAGTCATGGCCAACTCTTTTGCCACCCCTTGGACTGTAGCCCACTAGGTTCCTCTGTCCACGGAATTCTCCAGGCAAGAATACTGGATTGTGTTGCCACGCCCTTCTCCAGGGGATTTTCCCGACCCCAAGATCGGGCCCAGGTCTCCCGAATTGCAGGCAGATTCTTTACCGTCTGAATCACCAGGGAAGCCCTTGGGGGTGCCTGTTAAAAAAATTCCAGCCAGATTTCCAGGACCTGCATCAGCTATGTCTACTGATTCAAATGCAGGAGGAGGGAGGTACTGAAGAATCTATTTACTCAGAACACTAGATGAATTCTTAGGAGCCAAGATGGGAAAACACTGGCCTAGCTCATGTGAAGAGGTAGGAACAGTTTCCTTGACAGGCCTAGAAGTCCTCCCCAGTTTTATCGCTGAAACATCCCAAGCCTGCCAGTTGGAAACCACTCTCGTTCTGGGTTTAATATGCATTTCTGGGTTCCCCAAAACTGTCGCTTTGGTAAAAATCAGTTCTCCAGGCCACAACTCTATGACTCCAAGACTGACAGATCGGAAGGCCCCACCCAGATGCCAGGACTAATTCTCCTAGGCCGACTCCAACCCCCCATACCTGTAGGTGACGGTGCAAGAGGTGAGCCGTGACTGGGGAGCAGTAGACGGGCCGGGCCCAGGTGCTAGTCAGACCCACGGTGTGGTCCGAGTGCATGTGGGTCAGGAAGAAGAGTCGGCCGGAGCCAGCCCGGCGCAGGCTCCAAAAGTCCACCGCGATGGGCGTATGAGGGATCAAGACCCCATTCATGGTGGCGGGGTTCGAGTCACCAGTGGGTTCTTTATGGGAACAGAGTTCCTGTGTGAGGCTCCTACCATGCCGCCCTGAAAAAAAACATGCTCGGGCAAGAACAGGGCTAGAGACCGTAAGGAAAAGCCAGCCCACTGAGGGAATGAATGGCTAGACTGGGCAGAAAGAAGGAAGTGACCTTGCTGGTAGGAGTTTGGGTGGAATCTCAAACCGCAGAAGGCGCCCAACTGAGCGCCACTCCCCCGGACGCGCAGGACCCGGGGCCGAAGCCCGGCACTCAAAGCGCGCGCTGCTGGGCGGAGACAGGCCGAAGTAGCCAACTTCCGATTGCTCGCAGCAGCTCCACCAGAGGGAGCCGCGCGGCTGCGCCGGGAGGTGAGAGGTTGGGGGAAGGGCACCCAAAGGTCGGGATCCAGGCTGCGCTCGGCGCTCCCTGGGAGAGGGTGATTGGCAGCCGCTCTACGCGGTCCCTCTGGAGGAGGCGGGACTTCCGCAGAGAGCTTGATTGGGCCTCTAGGTGATGGCAACCGCGTGGAGGCGCAAGAAAGGCTGGAACTGGAGAGGGAGGGGTTCACGGACAGTTGGCTGCGGGGCTGGAAATCAGGCCGAGAACCTAGAGGTTGGGGAGAGTTCTGTGGGCGGAGCGAACCAGCCTGCAGGTCCCGGGAGAGAACCGCAGAGCCTCGGGTGGGCCTCTCCCGGAAGCAAGAGGGTTGAAGTTGAGTATGCTAGGTCATGGTTGCGGGTCTTGGGGAAGACAAGGCTGGGGCAAGCTCGCGCCTTGTTGTCCCTTCACTGACTGACATTTCCTTTACCCAGGTCCCCATATCAGGGCTAAAAGGAGCCCGAGTTCCCTAGGGATCTGTGGGAACTGCCCCGTGACTGTTGGAGAAGATGCCGTACCTTGGCTCCGAGGACGTGGTGAAGGAGCTGAAGAAGGCTCTGTGTAATCCTCACATTCAGGCTGATAGGCTGCGCTATCGGAGTGTCATCCAGCGAGTGATTAGGTACCACCTAACGCCCTAATTTCCCCATTGCCATCCCCAGCAGGCCTCTCTCCCCATGGCTGCGCAGAAGGAGTTAATGAACTTTCATGCATGGCAGTTGTACGGTTTGGTCTTTCTGCTTCTCTGGAATGACATCTAAGTCTCCCCCGTGGGGCATCTTTTGCTTCTTTTACTCAGCTGGGTGGTTTCATCCATATCTTGACCTTGTGCTGCTGATCTATATCTAGTACAGATATCCTCAGACTCACACATCCTGTTGTTTGCTTGGCATTTCTGCCTGGATGTGTCTTCAAAGACATGCAAAATAGCACCTGCTTTCTTCCCTCCACCTTCCCAGACCTGCTCTTCTGCTTGTATTGTGTTGATAAATGTCACCACCCAGCTGACCAAGTGTGGGAGTCAGTCTTGATGACACCTGATCTTCACTGCTCAAGTCAGGTGGTATGGATTTGTGGTTCTAAATATCCTCTTTTTAAAAAATCGGCACTGCTGTTCTGGTTTCTTTATAAAAAAGAATTACAGTAGTTTAAGAGTAGGTCAGGGCTTCCCTGCTGACTCAGTGGTAAAGAATCCGCTGCCAATGCAAGAGACTCCAGTTCCATACCTGGGTCAGGAAGATCCCCTGGAGAAGGAAATGGCAACCGACTCCAGGATTCTTGCTTTGAAAATCCTATGGACAGAGGAGCCTGGCAGGCTACAGTCCATGGGATTGTGAAAAGAATTGGATATGACTTAGCAACTAAAGAGCAACAAAGTATCAGGTCATCTTGAGTGACTAAAACAACAGCAGAGTATTAGGTCATCTTGCTCCCATTTCAGTTAGAGTGATTTTCCAATATATGAATTTGACAATATATCTCTTGCCTGTAGCAAACTTTGTATCACAAACTTTAGCATGCACAGTTTTTAAGAATGCTTTTTAAAATTTTACTGCTTTTTTAATGCTTCTTTAATGCTTTTTAAGAAAATGTAAAAATTTCATTCAATCCAGGAATGATTTCAGTAGGTGGGATGGAACCCAGGAATCTGCATTTTGAACAGACATCCCCTCAAATTCCTATAGGAGATCACAGTTTCTCAAACTTTGATTTTACAGAATAAAGTCCAAATTTCTTACCATAACATCCAAGGAACACCCTGTTAACTACCTTCAGACTGTCAAAAGAACATACCATTCTTGCTCATGTCCACATCCCTTACAGCGTGTATCATTACCTATCTACTACACTTCCCTGGAGCTCCTGCTAATTTGGCTCAAGTATTACTTCTTGGCAGTGTTAGATACCCATTGCACCTTATCTGTTCCTTCTGATGTAATACTTATCAGTCATTCTGTAATTAGAGGTGTCCTTGTCTGCCTGCTTGGTAGATTTGAGTTCCTTCAGATCTGAGAACATGCCTTCCTCAGATTATGTCCCCAGAACTTATCCCTGGAATGTAAAAGCTGAATGCTGTTGGAATGTATCAATACTTAGGAATTCTGTAAGTGTTTGTTGAATGAATAGAAGAACGTTTATTGCAGGCTGTGTTAAGTTTTGTGTGATATGATAGAAAAGGTAGACCTGGTTGCTTCCCTCTAAAAGGTCACAATCTAGTTGGCCATCCAGGACATGTATAAGTAAAAGGCTTTCTGTAGGTTGTTGGTGATGAGTTGGGGAATATGTTTTTTACTTTTCCCTGCTGTGTGTGTTGGTTTCAGGCACATGACTCAAGGGGTGGACATGTCTGGTGTTTTTATGGAAATGGTGAAAGCTAGTGCCACTGTAGATATTGTTCAGAAGAAGTTAGTTTATCTCTACATGTGTACCTACGCTCCCTTGAAACCAGATCTGGCTCTCCTGGCCATCAATACACTGTGCAAAGACTGTTCGGACCCCAACCCAATGGTGCGAGGGCTGGCATTACGGAGCATGTGTAGCCTCAGGTGAGCACTCTCTTCCCTTCCTGTATGTCAGTGGCTGATGAGTTCATGTGGTCACAGGCAGATTTTTAATGGTGACAATTTATTTGCGCTCCTTAGTACTGGGGAAAACATGGTTGTAACCTGAACTCAGGTTGTCAGCCATTACTTTGATTTAAAAAATTATATAGATGATTTTATTAAGATGATTTTATTTTATTATTTTATTAATAAAAATCATTAAGATGATTTTTCTACTTTACTCTCAGTGAGATAGTTAAAGATTTCTAAATGTGTGTGTGTTTTAACTTGCCTGTGCAGCATTATCCACATGAAAAGTCAAGTGAGGCTTTTTAAGTTTGGCAGCAGCTTTCTTGAGTTTGTTGAGAAGAATCTGACCAATGCATATTCAGACATCTACTAAACCCTCTGTTAAGTGAATAGGGGCTAAATTATGTCAACACTAGTACTTTAGGATCTGGCTGACTCCAGAATGTGTTGCTTAGGATGCCTGGTGTGCAGGAATATATCCAACAACCAATTCTCAATGGTCTGCGGGATAAGGCTTCGTATGTCAGGAGGGTAGCAGTCCTTGGCTGTGCCAAGATGCATAATCTTCATGGAGACTCTGAAGTGGGTAAGTTTCAATGTAATCTATCATGATCTATTTATTTGTGCTTCCATTATATGACTTTGTAAAAGATTATGTCGTTTTGGTAGAAAATAATAATGTGGCTCTACTGGATGTCCCTTTTTTAAAATTTCATTTTATTTCTTAAATTTATTTTTATGTATAATTGCTTTACATGTTGTGTTGGTTTCTGCCATAGAACAGCATGAATCATCCAGAAATATTCATATATCCTCTCCCTCTTGAACTTCCCTTCCACCCTAGGTGTCTCTTTTAAGTAGGATGCAAGGCTTGGTATTTTCTGAAATTAAAGAAGTCCTTTCTTTGGGGTTCAGGTGAAATTCTTTGCATCAACTACTTAGGATAGTCTGGAAATGGCAATTTTTAGCCTTGTACATTGCTACTGCCTTTGTTACTTCTGTGTAATAGCAGAGAAGTTCAGCTTTGTCTTCCTAGAACTATCATTCTGGCTCTATTCCCGTGATTCTGAAGCTTTTGTTTATATGAGATCTTTATTCTTTTGTAGATGGTGCCCTGGTAAATGAATTATATAGTTTGCTGCGTGACCAGGATCCAATTGTGGTTGTGAACTGCCTGAGGTCTCTAGAGGAAATTCTGAAACAGGAAGGAGGTGTTGTCATCAATAAGCCCATCGCCCACCATCTCTTAAATCGGTTTGGATGCCTCTGTTCTCTTTTTATCATGATCAGATCTGCATCTCTGCATCATAGTGGGATCTTGTTGATGTATTGAATGAAGGAGAGGTTCTTGAACAACTTCTGTAGAGCAGTAGAAAAAAGTTAACTGTAACCATTAACTACCTCATGTTTCATTGTAAGTTTTATGGGTTTGTGTTTTTTTTTTTTTTTTTTGTCTTAGTTTCTTTTGATAATATAGAGAGATGGCAGAAAGATCCTTGGGGGATAGGTTCTGTCCCCTGCAGTCATTATGTCCCTGAAACTAAGCCATTCACACATACTATCTTACAATGTAGAGAGTCTGGGTCTAGGGTATAGCAATCATGTCTTTGGCCTTAGATGAGTATGCATTTGTACTGTGAACTCATCTTGTTATTTAAAGACTTTGTATAAACTTTAAGTAATATGTAAAAAGAATAATCCGATTATGGTACAACCTATTTTCAAGAATTCTCCCCTTATTGTGATGTGCAAATGACTAGTAACAGAGAAATCGCATGGAGGTAGTCCTAATTTTGTTGCTAACATAGCCCATTTGTTTTCTTTTGGGGGTAGAATGTCAAAACTGGACCAGTGGGGCCAGGCTGAAGTCTTGAACTTTCTGCTCCGCTACCAACCCCGAAGTGAGGAGGAGCTGTTTGACATTCTCAATCTGTTGGACAGTTTTCTCAAGAGCAGCAGCCCAGGAGTGGTGATGGGAGCCACCAAACTCTTTCTGATCTTGGCCAAAAAATTCCCGCACGTGCAGACCGACGTGCTCATGCAAGTCAAGGGCCCTCTGCTGGCCGCCTGTTCTTCCGAGAGCCGAGAGCTCTGCTTCGCTGCCCTCTGCCACGTGCGCCAGATCCTGCACAGCTTGCCGGGTCACTTCAGCGGCCACTACAAGAAGTTTTTCTGCTCCTATTCGGAGCCCCACTACATCAAGCTCCAGAAGGTGGAGGTGCTGTGTGAACTGGTGAACGACGAGAATGTGCAGCAGGTGCTGGAGGAGCTGCGAGGGTACTGCACCGACGTGTCCGCCGACTTCGCGCAGGCCGCCATCTTCGCCATTGGTAGGTGTCTGCTGCTTTTCCTTCATGAGAGCCTACGCCAAACAGCTAGAGAGAGCAAAAGGGAAATGAGTCTTGCTTCAAGGGAAAGTATTTCGCACCAAAAAATTGGGTCAGTGACTACGAATAAGTGGAGGAGGAAGGCTCTTTTGGTCAACACCGGTGTTGCCCTGTCTTTCTAGGATAGACTAAGGGTGATTCAAACTGTAACATGATTGATTAATTGATTTTAAAAAACATTATTTATTTATTTGGGGTTGCACTGGGTCTTAGTCGCTGCTCTCAGGCTTTCTCTAGTTGAGGAGAGTGGGGACTGCTCTTTGTTGTGGTACGCAGGCTTCTCATTGTGTGGCTTCTCTTGTTGTGGAGCGTGGACTCTAGGTGCACTGGCTTCCCTAGCTGTAGCTCTTGGGCGCTGGTGCACTGGCTGGGTCGTTGAGGCTCCCGGGCTTAGCTGCCCCGTGGCATGTGGGATCTTCCTGGAACAGGGATCGAACCCGTTTCCCCTGCATTGGCAGGCAGATTCCCATCCACTGTTGGACCATCTGGGAAGTCCAACATGATTTATATTGCCTTTCGTTGTACCTTACCAAAAATGCTTTTCTGTAGATCATCTTCCTGTAGTCTTGTGAGACAGTCAAGAAAAGTGGACAAGTGGTTATTAACTTCATTTTCAAGATGAAGCAACTCGGGCACAAAAAGTTTCTTAAATTGCCCAAAGTTTATATAGTTCCTGAACTGGGACTGAAACCCAGCTTTCCTGACTCAAAGTCCTGTGTCAATTCAACAGTCATTTATTGAGCTTCTACTCTGGGCTACTGCGTATTGTGCTGCATAGACCAACATGGAGTAAAACCTAAGGCCTACAGACCTTTTCACACTACCGTGTCTGCAATCTAAAGAGCTAGAGTGAGCCACAACGTGAAAGCAGCTGGGGAGCTCAGTTTTGGAGGACTTCAAGGGAAGGAGGAGAAGGAGCTCTCCTAGATAGAATAAAGTATGGCTATTTTTAGGGACAGAGAAGAGGAAGCAAAGAGGGGAGTAGAAATCCTGCCACCCGGAGGCCGCTGTCAATTGTCCCCAGCGGGAATACTCCTGTGCAGGTGTGCTGCAACAAGCTGGCGGCCATATAAATACTCTGAAAGTTTCCAACATTGTTCAACAGGGAATTCATTTTTACCTAAGTTCCCTTAAATTCTTATTTCATCAAGCAAGGATTTTTTTTTTTTTTTTAGGTGTTTCCGGTCCTCTTTGTTTTTGGTTGGTAGGAAATTGTTTTAGAATGAGGTGCTAATATTTGACTTAACACTTTTTCTGCTTCCCTTCCTCTGTAGGTGGCATCGCCAGGACCTACACCGATCAGTGTGTGCAGATTCTAACAGAGTTGCTGGGGCTTCGACAAGAGCACATTACCACAGGTAATAGCTACCATTTTAGCATTTTTGTGTGTGTGTTTTGAGGGGGGACCAATTTCCTGGCTTGTGATGGTTTCTCAGAATATGTTTGTTGTTGAATATGAGAGGTTTAAGCTTTTCTTTACATCATCAGTTGCCACCAGAGGAGCATATAGACCTAACAGGGCAGGGAGTCTTCAGGTTGCCATGAGTCTTCAGGGCTGTTGTATAGCTAATGAAGGGTGCTAGGATGACCTTGCTTGTCATTTCCCCACCTTTGTCCCTCTTTTTGCTTTACAGCAGCAACTGTAAGCAGTGGCTGCCAGGCCTGGGACTAGAATGATGCAAATAAGGTGCCAAGGATACAGACATTTAAGGAGGCATTCACTATTATATAAAGCATGGATAAACAACAAGGTCCTACTCTACAGCATGGGGATCTATATTCAATATCCTGTGATAAGCCAGAATGGAGGCCTTCCCTGCTGATCTAGTGTTTAAGAATCCACCTGCCAATGCAAGGGACACGGATTTAGTCCCTGGTCTGAGAAGATTCCACATGCAGCGGGGCAGCTAAGCTGGTGCGCCACAACTACTGAAGCCCGTGCGCCTAGAGCCTGTGCCCTGCAATAAGAAAAGCCACCGCAATGAGAAGCCCATGCACTGCAACTAGAGAGTAGCCCCCACTTAACCACAACTAGAAAAAAGCCTGGACAGCAACAAAGACCCAGCACAGCTAAAAAAAAAAAAAAAGCCTTACCAGAAAAGAATATATGAATATATATATATATATATAAAATGTATATAGAGAGTCACTCAGTCTCAGGTTCATGCAGGTGCTACCTCTGTGTGTCCTCTTATGTTTTACAACCTGGCACCTTGCTTGGGTGCTTAGGGCTTCACCATAGCCCCAGCGTCTCCATTTCTACTGTCTTCAGAGTATCATTCAACAGCAGCAATCCCCCACATTTGTATATGGCCTTCCAGTTTACCAAGTGCCTTTGCATACATTAATTCTTGTATCCTCATGGCAATCTAAGAAGAGCAACATTCATTTAAGAAATCGTTGCCCATGCCAGACATTTCTCAGATAATCACTGACCACCCCCTCCAACACCCATTTTGCAGACATTCCCGCAGCCTGACTATGTGCCTTTTCTTAAGATTCCTTCCCACGCGGAGGCGCTAACCCTGTGCTCTTGTGTCCTGAGCTGTGCTGCAGCGGTGGTGCAGACTTTCCGAGACCTGGTATGGTTGTGTCCTCAATGCACAGAAGCTGTGTGTCAGGCCCTGCCCGGCTGTGAGGAGAACATTCAAGATAGTGAGGTAGACTATGATTCTCCTTTACTTCTAGGTCAAGGGGAAGTGCTTGGGACCTGCTCTCTGAAATGGGATCTAATTATTCTTTCTCTCCAGTGTCTGAAGTGGGAATTCTTAGAATCGATTGCCACCTCAGATTCTCTTTTGGGTATAGGCAGGATATAAATTATGCAAACATTAGGATTTAACTATGGTTTCCTTACAAATATTTTGATACCATTATTGTCGTGTAACATATTATTTTGAGTGAGAGATTTAGACCATAGGGTTTTCAGCTGGCATGAAAATCAGAGTCATTTGTGGACTTTCTATATATGTTTAGGCTTCACCCCAGGTCTACTCAAATATTCACAGGGTTCCCATGTGTGGGAACCCTGGACACATACAGTTTCAAGAAGCCTCGCAGGCGATTCTGACATGCACTGTAGGTTAATCACCACTTTAATGGAGTAACTTAGGGAAATCTTCCAGTAACTTTCACTGGAGTGTGAAACCCCAAATTGGGGCTGAAGCCCCCAAACTGAGGAATCTTTATTGCTTAAACAACATAAGCGTGAGAGTCATAAGTCTCCTTTTTTTGTGGTAGAATTTCGTTCCTATTTGTTGTAGAGAGTTTAGTAGGGGGTAGAGATCAATAACTGCAAGTTGAAGCAAATAAAATATACTTTTTTAGCTAACTCTAGGGGAGAAGCAAAACCTTCTGCTGTCTGCCGTCTGCTCTCGCCTGTGTTTTGGACAGCAAAATGTTAAGCATCTGTTCTTACTCCCTAATTCCCTAGGGGAAGCAGGCACTTATCTGGTTACTCGGTGTCCATGGGAAGAGAATCCCCAATGCTCCTTATGTGTTGGAAGACTTCATAGAGAATGTGAAGTCGGAGACGTTCCCAGCTGTCAAGATGGAGCTGCTCACAGCTGTGCTGCGCCTCTTCCTCTCTCGCCCAGCTGAGTGCCAGGACATGCTAGGCCGCTTGTTACACTACTGCATAGGTAGGCTCTTCAGAGGAAATGGTACTTGCCATGGCCAGTTGTGTATATCTCCTGATGGCTCAGATGATAAAGAATCTGCCTGCAATGCAGGAGACCCAGGTTTGATCCCTGGGTTGGAAAGATCCCCCAGAGAAGGGAATGGCAACTCACCCCAGTATTCTTGCCTGGAGAATTCCATGGACAGAGGAGCCTTGTGGACTACAGTCCATGTGATCACAAAGAGTCAGACACAACTGAACAACTAACACTTTCACTGTCAGTCATAGAGGTTCTCACAGCTTTCATTGTTTGATGAGCTGTGTCTGGGACCCAAGGAGAAAATGTCAACATTTTCTAGGGTTTCCTCCCTCCTATTCTGGTGGGCACTGGGATAGAAAGAACGTTTTTATTTTTAATTAACTCAATATTTTATCTTACCTCAGAGGAAGAAAAGGACATGGCGGTACGAGATCGAGGTCTCTTCTATTATCGCCTCCTCTTAGCGGGCATCAATGAAGTAAAGCAGATCCTGTGTAGCCCTAAATCTGACCCTTCCCTCAGACTTTTGGAGGATCAGGCAGAAAGACCTGTGAACAGCTGGGCCTTGGACTTCAACACTCTGGTGCCAGTCTATGGCAAAGCCCGCTGGGCAACCATCTCTAAATGCCAGGGAGTAGAACATCATGGCCCAGAGCTTCCTAACACTACAGCCTTTCCCACATCAGGTAAAAATCATCCTTATTTTCTATCTTGTTATGAAAAATCTCTATGGTAGAAAGTAAAGTACCCCAGCTAAACTTCATATTGTTACTTGAATTTCGTCTTTGTGAACAAGAAAATTTGCCATTGGTTATTTAAGCCATTTCTCCTAAGATAAGAATCACATTGTGTACTTTTGGAAATCTAGAGTTAAAAATGTAGTTCCAGCAGACTGAGAGCGTCTCTTAAACAAGCTTTCTGACTCTTGTAGGACCCCTGATTCCCGAGGAGAACAAAGAGAGGGTCCAGGAACTCCCTGATTCCGGAGCCCTCATGCTCATCCCCAATCACCAGCTTACTGCTGAGTGTTTTGAGAAAACTTGGCTGAGCCTCCAAGTTGCTCATCAGCAGGCGTTCCCGTGGCAGGGAGCAGTCCATCCTGACACCCTGCAGATGGCGCTGCAAGTCGTGAACATCCAGACCATCGCGATGAGCCGGGCTGGGACTCAGCCATGGAAAGCCTACCTCAGTGCTCAGGACGACACTGGCTGTCTGTTCCTAACAGAACTGCTGTTGGAGCCTGCGAACGTGCAAATGCAGATCTCAGTGAAACAAAGCGAGGCAGGGACAGAGACACTGAAGAGTTTTATTTCTGTTTTAGAAACTGTGATCGGAACGCTTGGAGACATAAAATCATAACGGCTTCTTGTCTGTCCTGAGTGAGATGAATAGCTCTCAGAGTTCCTTAGTTTTTCTTATTATCACTGCTTGGAAGTCCAGATAATATCAGATGCAAAGGAGAAGGGGAATCTGGGAATGAGGATTCTTCCATTTTTGTCCAAAGAACATTGCCATGTTCCTCTCATACCTATCGGTGAATGACCCCACTTTTCCAAGTGATGTTGCCAAGATTAATGTTGTTGGGGAGAGGGTGAGAGTAGAATTTGTATTCTTTTCTAATTAGCTTAAGGGATTATTTTACTAATTAAAGATGTCTGATGTGTCTGGAAACTGATAGGGACATCAGTTTGTAAGGGTCATCTTTTCTTCCCTGGATTATTACAGTAAATTCCCTACTGTTATAATATTTCTAATCATGTTTTTTAGGCCAGAGTTCAAAGTCCTCAACATGATATCCGAAGTTCCTCCTCTGTGCCATGTCTCAGCGCTCACCAGAATACCCCGTGTTCTGGCAAAAGCAAAGCACTTGCAGTTCCCTGAATATACTCAGCTCTCTCTTATCTCTGTGCTTTTACTTCCTGCCTGCAATATTTCCTCACCCTCAAATCTTTTTAAGTAGCGCTCAGTCTATCTTTTGGTGTTCAGTTCAGATGTGAGCTCTTTCAGGATGTTTTCTGTGACCCTCGCTGCCTTCACTGGGGTTTCATTCAAGCTGTGGAAGCAGTCGGTGCGAATGTCTAGCAGTACTGTTGGGGCGGCGCTAAAGAGCCCAGCCTCCCCATGCAGGAGATATAAGAGACATGGTTTCGAACCCTGGTTTGGGAAGATCCGCTGGAAGAAAACCCACTCCAGTATTCTTGCCTGGAGAATCCCATGGAAAGAGGAGCCTGGTAAACTACAGTCCATAGGGTCACAAAGAGCGGGACTGAGGTGACTAAGCACAGCACAGCAGTACTATTGTAATTGTTTTCTTGTCACTCTTTCTCATGTTTAATTTTCTTCATAACTGACCACATTTTATACATGGAGACAACTTATGGCCAAAACAGATGTAATAAACTGATGGTAAAGTATAAATAACCAGAGAATCCAGCATAGGAAAAATAAAAACACCTGTTAAGACCAGCTGGGTTAGGGATGGGAAAGTATACAAATGTCCAGGCTGAAAAAGGGTCTACATAGCTGATACAGTTGAGGTCGTATTTAGCTTTGTAAGTGATTTGCATGCTAAGTAGCTTCAGTCATGTCCGACTCTTTGTGACTTCGTGAACTGTAGCCCGCTAGGCTCCTCTGTCTGTGGGGATTCTCCAAGAATGAATACTGGAGTGGGTTGCCATGCCCTTCTCCAGGGGATCTTCCCTACTCAGGGATCGAACCTTCGTCTCTTGCATCTCCTGCATTGGCAGGCGGGTTCTTTACCACTAACGTCACTTGGAAGCAGCCAGAATTAAAGAGGAATGGTTGTGTAGTTGTCACCAGAGAGAAAGAAATATTTCAATTCTAATTTCTAAAAGAAATTTACATGTAGTTTTACATGGATGGTACTGAATGGTATGTAGAATACTTGTGTGGCAAGTTAGTAAAGTGTTTCACATGACTTTCTTGTGGTGTTCTTCAATATGAACAGAGAACATAATTTTAATATGAAGCTTAGTGAGGGCATTCTTCAAGGACTAAAGATACTATGACCCAAATATCATCCAGCTTAACTCAAGGACTTCTTCTACCTGGATCCATAGATGGACTGCATATCCTTCAAATAATGCTTTGCCTATGATTTCTCTCAGCTAATCTTTTAATAAGAGTAGAAAACAGTGCTGAATTTTCTGGCAAGGGCCTGGATTTAGTCAGTTGTCTGTCTCTGCCAGACAATTTTTAAGGACAGATTATCTTTCTTTCCTTCTGTCTACGGTGCCTACAAGATAGTGGTTACTCAATAAATAGTATTGAATGAATGGCTGTAAGTTTTGAATAATTAGATGCTGATGGTATTTGTAGACTGGTGTTTGAAGTGTGTTTTGTTATATTGCGTCAACCATATAGACGATAATAGATGGAATTCCACCTTGGCTAGGGTATCTCAGAAGTGGTGCTACTGACATTTGGGGCCATATAATTCTTTGCTGTAGGGGGTTTATCTGTACACTGTAGGATAATCATCAGAATCTCTGATCTATACCATTAGATGCCCCCAAACACCTGTTGTGACAACTAAAAATATCTTCAGATGTTGCCAGGTTACCATGGAAGTCAAAAATCACCCACAGTTGAAAAAGACAGATCTGGATCCTGGATCCCCAGGGACTGGAAGGAGGAGGATCAGAACATCTTCAGAACCACTTTCCATATTTTGACTTGTTCAGTTAAACTGAATGTTTAATTAGGTACTAAAACAAAGTGGAAGTGTTAAGTGCTGCCAGTTTTAAGTGTTGGAAGGAAACAGGATGTGAGTGGTAGAAATTGAGTAAATTGATCGACTTCTTAAAAATTAAGGGTTATCACTGAAATGTTGAACTAAAGAAATTTAGGTACAGCTCAGTAATTGAATGTTAACTACAGTGATCCTAACTATAGGAGCTTTTAGAATATTAAGCCCTACTTGGTTGCTTTCCTGTAAAGTAAGAAGCATAGCAGAATATGAAACTGTTGCTTTTGAAAACACCACCCGGTTGGCAGAATGCAAAGAGGAACTTAAAGAACCTTTTGATAAAGGTGAAAGAGGAGAGTGAAGAAATTGGCTTAAAACTCAACATTCAGAAAACTTAAGATCATGGCATCTGGTCCCATCACTTCATGGCAAATAGATGGAGAAACAATGGAAATTGTTGTGACAGACTTTATTTTCCTGGGCTCCAGAATCACTGTGGATGGTGACTGCAGCCATGAAATTAAAAGATGTTTGCCCATTGGAAGAAAAGCTCTGACAAACCTAGACAGCATATTAAAAAGCAGACACCACTTTGTTGACAAAGGCCTGTATAGTCAAAGTTACAGTTTTTCTAGTAGTCAGGTACAGATGTGAGAGTTGCACCATAAAGAAGGCCAGTACCAAAGGACTGATGCTTTTGAGCTGTGGTGTTGGAGAAGACTCTGGAGAGTCCCTTGGACAGCCAGGAGATAAAACTGGTCAATCCTAAAGGAAATCAATCCTGAATATTCACTGGAAGGACTGATGCTGAAGCTGAAGCTCCAGTACTTTGGCCATCTGATGGGAAGGGCTGACTCATTGGAAAAGACCCTGATGCTGGGAAAGACTGAAGGCGGGAGGAGAAGGGGACAACAGAGGATGAGATGGTTGGATGGCATCACTGACTCAATGGACATGAGTTTGAGCAAGCTCTGGGAGTTGGAGATGGACAGGGAGGCCTGGAATGCTGCAGTCCATGGGGCCGCAGAGAGTCGGACATGAAAGAGTGACTGAACAACAGCAGCAACAGTTTTAAAATCATCTCATTGAAGAACTGATTTCTTTTAACTATTGCCTGATTTTACTCATTTACAAGCAAAATGATTAAAGCTTCCCTGGTGGCTTAGATGGTAAAGAATCCGCCTGCTGTGCAGGAAGCCTGGGTTCAACCTCTGGGTCAGGAAGACTCCCCTAGAGAAGGGAATGGCAACCCACTCCAGTATTCTTGCCTGGTGAATTCCACGAACAGAGGAGCCTGGTGGGCTATAGTCCATCGGGTCCCAAAGAGTTGGACATGACTGAGCGACTAACACTTTTACTTTCATAAAATGAAGTTAATTATTTAATATTCCTCCTCCCTAGGAGCACTCTCTAGTCTCTGTAGATATATTGGTTTGATGATATAGGCAGATGCTTATCTTTAAAATCTATGAAGGTAGTTGATACTGTGCTTTTAGAAAAATGGCCTTCTAATGTCTTAGTTGGTAACACATATAATGAGGGCCCACCAATGACTGTGGTGCTTTGGAACATTACAGAAGCAATCATTTACATAGTTCCTGATGATCATTTTATGGCTATGAACCAGCAACTGTTAGATGCCTCCATTCCCTCTTCCTTTTTGAATTGGAGTTCTGTTACAGTTATTCTATCACTTTTTCATAGATTGAGTGTTTGGGGGTGAGGAGACAAAGAACTTATTTTCTTAGTTACAGGTCATCACATTGAGAGGAGCTGTACCCCAGGATCCTCGTTCACATGCAGGCCTGGTGCAGATGACAAGATCTTGAATTTTGAGCCAATGATATAATGAGATGAGGCTTTGGGGAAAAGATATAAATTATTATGACAAGAGAAGCAAGTGAAAGTGAAAAAGTTCTGGCCTCATTTTTCAGTAATAATTAAGAGAACAATATTTGAACTACACGAGTGAAGAGTATGTGGGCTGCGGGCAGGGAGGGGAAGGGATGGTTGGGTGGGGAAGGCCCAGAGAGAACTAAACAAAGGAGGAAATTTTACCCCACATTGCTCATGAAAGATATACTGTGGTTCTCTAGCCTCACACCATTGACTGTACAAACTAATGCAAAGCATAGATAAGATTATGCAAAGATTAGATTCCCAAGATGGTATTTGTCCATAAGTATACCAGTAGTGAAATGAGGAAGGTGGTTCATTATTATGGGGAAAGGTTTACTATTGATAGTAAGACATACTTGGTTTTAAATTTCTGTTCTACCACTTACTGATGCCACTTACCTTGGGGAGGCTATTTAACACCAGCTGGATTGTATCTTACAATTTTTTTTTGTTTTTGTGTATTATTTTGGGAGTATGTCATAAATGTATTTGTTGGAGTCCTTAACTTGTCAGTGGCTAGCTCTAGTGTGAAAGGACATTGGCCTAGAATTATCTTTGCAGAATCTTCTGACATTAGAGGTCTGAAAGCTACTTAGACATTGCTTTTAGCCTTGGTGATAATGACAAATAAAAATGACCCTTTAGCTGTATAACTCCTATTCCTAGTCCCAAAGGAACGTATGACCTTTTTTTTTTTTTTTTAAGAATGGAATAGAAAGCAGAAGATTGGCTCTGATTATTTTGCAAGCTAGAAATTCCACTTTGAACAATTAACTTAGTGTTTATGCTTGAATGTCATCCTACTGGTTCACCAGGTCAGAATACCCTGGAAAAGTTGATAGGTTTGAGTGCTGCTTCTGAGACACCCAGAATCTAGGTGTAGCTCCATTAAAAAGGCAACCACCAAAAATAAGTGTCCAGTCCTGAGAACCTGTAAAACACTGATGGAGTCCAGCCCTGTTAGAAGACCCCAGTTAATTCTATTAGAGAGTAGATCCCAGATTCCTTTCATCCCGGTGATTAGACCTTGGGCTAAAAGGAAGACATTTAACTCTTGCTATATTTCAGATGGATTTCCCTGATGGCTCAGACAGTAAAGAATTACCTGTAAAGCAGGAGACCCAGGTTTCCCTGGGTCAAGGATATCCCCCGGAGAAGGGAATGGCCACCCACTCCAGTGTTCTTGCCTGGAGAATCCCATGGACAGAGGAGCCTGGATGACTGCAGTCCATAGTGTCGCAAAGAGTTGGATGTGACTGAGCGACTAACACACACATATTTCAGATACTGCTTGATCCTTCCACATAATATTATCTCATTTAATCCTCATTATTTCCCTGTGAAATACTTTATATTATTCCCATTTACAATTCCTCAAATGCCCAAATTTTTATTCATCTCCTCAGCTTTTATATGTCCTATTCCCTCCATCTGGAATGGTTTTACTCCTACTCTTTGCCTAATGAGTCCTTACTTGTCCTTCAGAGCTCCTCTCAGATGTTACAACATAAAGGAAGCCTTCTTTATTTTGGTTTGTTTCCTTACTACACACTATAATAACACACGGTATCTTAATAAGCACAAGAAATTATGTGATTAGTTATTTAAATCTGTCATTTATGTCCAAGTGTGAGCCCCATGAGGATAGGAACTATATCTGTGTCATTTTTCTGGATTATTTATATGCCAAGTATGTGCAGTTCCTTACACACAGGTCAGTAAATAATCAATGTGCCATTGTGGCAAATGAATGCCATAGTCAGGAGTTGAGTGTTTGTGTAACATAACCTCAAAAACTTCTTTCTTTAAATCCACCATACCCAGAACCCAACAGGAAGTTTCTTAGTGATATTACCCAAGAGGCTCTTCCTTGTCTCTATTTCAGTTCTAGATTGGCTATCTCACTCGTATAAGTTATCCATTAACCCTGGCTCGGGTGTGGCTCTCAGATAGGGAACTGAAAGTCTTCAACAAACCTCTCCAGCTGTGTGTGGGTGAGCTCTACAGAAGTCTCCCCCTTTCTGAGCAGCTGTTTTGAGGACAGGTGGAAGAAAAGACTCCACATCCCATTAAGTAACTTTACGTGAGGACACATCTGGTTTACCAGGGTTTCTGACTTCCTGCTGAACTGAATTGCTTGTTCTGTAGGAAAGCAAGACTTGACTGCAAACATACATCTAAAATGAAGAGCCCCCGAACTTTTGAGGAGCAAACAGAATGCATAGTGGATTCTCTCCTCGCTGACTTCTTAGGCCCCGCTTGGCAGGTTGGTAACCGGACCTTACAAAGTGAAGACAGAACAGATTCAGGTAAGGCTTCTGGGCCTGAGGTGGTAATTGCAGGTCAGTAAGAGAATCTGAATCTGCTTATTTCCTCTGAAGTCTCAAAAGGCAAACTAAGTTTTCAATATCTGGAGTCCTTGTAGCAGGGAAAGAGATTCTCAGTGAAGGGAGAATTTTTTGTTTATTGGTGTTGACACTATATTAAAGATTTTCTTGGGATGATGAGGACTGGATTGTTTAAAAGTCTAGAGAACTTTCTTCAATGCCCAGGTCCCTGGGGCTTGCCATCGCTTCAGGCATTGTGATAAATGTGACTGTGCCCCATCTGTTTTAGGGGACGTTTCCTCTTTTGATGTGGCCATCATTGCGGGTCGCCTTCGGATGCTGGGTGACAAATTCAATGGAGAATTGGAAGCTTCTGCCAAAAATGTCATCGCAGAAACCATTCGGGGACAGGTTAAGTTTCCACTACTTCTTTCTATTTTTGGCTTCTTGTTTATTCTAGTTCAGACACTGTTCTCTTACTACGCCTATACAACTGTGACTACAAATGTTCTATGAAAGATTTGAGGGCTTATTGCATCCAAGGAGATACAGCAGGAATTCTTCGATTCCAAGTCTTTAGCAGTTAATCAAAGACAAGGTGGTATTGAGGTGAAAAGCTTTGGGCAAAGGCTCATCAGCCTTCTGACTGTTTCTGATTGTTTTTCATCAGAGCTGTGCTTTATGGCACAGAGTGTGTGTGTGTGTAAATATATATATACTCTCTCTATATATGTATATGTGTGTGTGTGTATATATATATATATGTAGCACTTTATTCTTAGTAAAACATTCTATTCTTTTAGCACCTTTTAAAATATTTTGCTGGTAAAAGTGAAAGTCGCTCAGTCACGTCCCAACTCTTTGTGACCCCACGGACTATACAGTCCATGGAATTCTCCAGGTCAGAATATTGGAATGGGTAGCCTTTCCCTTCTCCAAGGGGATCTTCCTAACCCAGGGATTGAACCCAGGTCTCCTGCATTGCAGGCGGATTTTTTTACCAGCTCAGTAACAAGGGAAGCCTTTATTTTGTTGGTAGTGGACATCTTTTTTCCCCTCAGGATCCAGCAATAAAATTATATATAGGAAGGACAGGCATTTGACAAGTCTGATGCAATGGGGAATAAGTACTTACAGCAGCCCACTTAGGTGTATCTGGCTTTTCATCAGAGTCCTGATTCTTGGATTCTGTATTGGATATAAATACCATAGACCATGTTTTAGAAGAGGTTGCTGATTAATATCAATAATGACAGCTAGTATTAATTCATTACCATGTGTCAGACAATATTCTAAATGTTTTACACTTATGATCTCATTTAATCCTTACACTACTCTATGAGCATCATAGAAACAATTGTAGTGCAGCTTCTCCCCATGTATGTATAACATTGTGAGAGTAAACATCTAACCCAATTTTGTCCACTTGCTGTATTCACACAACTTAGATTGTAGAACCTATAGGCCAGGTGACCCAAACCTGTAAGATCTAATCCCTGATGACCTGAGGTGGAGCTGATGTAACAATAATAGAAATAAAGTACACAATAAATGTAATGTGCTTAAATCATCTTGAAACCATCCCCCTACCCCTAGTCTGTAGAAAAATAGTCTTCCACGAAACTGGCCCGTGGTGCCAAAAAAGTTGGGGACTGCTGATTGGTCCTCAATTTTCTGACTTAATATCCATTTAAGCAGATAAGGAAACTGTGTGTGTGCTTAGTCACTCAGTCGTGTCTGATCCTTTGTGACCTCTTGGACTGTAGCCCACCAGGCTCCTCTGTCCGTGGGGATTCTCCAGGCAAGAATACTGGAGTGGGTTGCCATTCCCTTCTCCAGGGGATTCATCCAGGGATCAAACCCAGGTCTCAGGCATTGCAGGCAGATTCTTTACTCTGTGAGCCCCCAGGGAAGTCTAAGTTTCATGTGTATCACATAATTCCATTTCTGTATACACCACAGCATGCTCACCACCAAATTTTTCTGGTTTCTCTCCATTACCATAAAATGAACTGCCTTTTCACATTTTGACCTTATTTTTTATTTCAATGTGGACTCATGAATTCCTACTTTATTCAATGGGTTATAATCTATTGCTATCATTATTTATTTGTATGCCCAAATTGCCCCAGATTCTACCGGTAGGAGTCCTTTCAATCTGGACTGTGATTTTGGCATGTCCCTATCATTCTCTGAGTACTACTTTAATTTCTTTTACAGAAGATCTTGTATTTTCCAAGCCCCAACCTGAAATTAGCCATTTTCCAGGGAACTCTGATTTCTTTTTACAGAGAACAAAATTTGGAAACCAGGATATAGGCATTCTCACTGTGGATGCCCTTCTCAGCTTCTTTGGGTTCTAACACCCTGTTCTGACAACCATGGGCCCTCTATGCCACACCACAGAAATCTTTATTGGCCCCACCTAGGGCTTCCCTTGTGGCTCAGCTGGTAAAGAATCCACCTGCAATGTGGGAGACCTAGATTTGATCCCTGGGTTGGGAAGAGCCCCTGGAGAAGGAAAAGGCTACCCACTCCAGTATTCTGACCTGGAGAATTCCACTGACTGTATAGTCCATGGGATCGCAAAGAGTCGGACACGACTGAGCAACTTTCACTTTCACTGGCCCCAAATAATAGCTTTTGGATCAAACTTTTGGGGAAGGATAAAGGAAGAGGAAAAGCTTAATCTATTTTTTACTTTAGAGTTTCCCAGACTTCAGTCATTTCAGCCAGACATTCAGAATTTGACCAGCTCTACTGTCCTGTACTTAGGATTTTTCTTTCAAATCTCTTTTCTTTAATCATTTTGTTCATCCTGAGCAAATTGTGGGTTTGATGGGCTACTTGTGTTTTTTTTTCTAATACCCATTGCAATAAATTAAAAAATAATAAAATAAGAAAAGTTTATCCATTTACTCCTTCAGATAACCTTATGGGTAGGAGGGGAGTTGGGGGAAGAATGGATACATGTATATATACGGTCGAGTCTCTTCGCTGTTCACCTGAAACTCACAACATTGTTAATCAGCTATACCCCAATACAAAATAAAAAGTTTGAAAAATATTATCTCAAAATAAATTTACTTAATTGAAAATATGATCAAAGAAAAAAAAAGATTACCTTAGATACAACCAATGTGTCCTTGCTGTTCTTTGAGAAACACTTGCTTTACTGGATTCCTGCAACTGTAGCCTCCTGTACCTGTTTAGTGATACTCCACTGATAGATCCTCTGTCTTTCCCCAGGCAGGAACTGTACTTCAGAACACAGTAAAATCGCTCAGCAATGCCTGGTGTGCCCAAGATTCCAGCTTGGCTTACGAGAGAGCCTTTCTGGCAGTGTCAGTGAAACTTCTTGAACGTGTGGCCAGCATGGCTCCTGAGGTGGCAAGACAGGTGGCGAGGCCCATGACGAATATGATCAATAGCAACACTGCCATCCGAGAATACATCCAGGGCCAGGGAGGATGGGTAAGTATTTTGGACTCCTGGCTTTGCTGGACATTGGCATTGTTTTTATATTAATTTATATTTTTATATTAATGCCTGAGACTCCAGTTCATGGTTCTTTCTGTCAGTTGGAAACCATGCAGGAAAACAGGCCCTCCAGCTTTGCTGAAAATGACAGGATTATGTGGGGGTTTTTTTGCCATGGAAAAGGGGAGCAGTCAGAAGCTCAGCCAGCAGGTCTTGGACCCCAAAGTATGCGTGCGTGCATGCATGCATGCATGCATGCTAAGTCGCTTCAGTCATGGCCAACTCTTTGCGACCCTATGGACTGTAGCCTACCAGGCTTCTCTGTCCATGGGATTCTCCAGACAAGAATACTGAAGTGGGTTGCCATGCTCTCCTCCGGAGGGTCTTCCTGACCCAGAAATCGAAGCTGCATCTCTTGCATTGTCTCCTGCATTGCAGGCAGATTCTTTACCGCTGAGCTACCAGGGAAGCCCTAGACCCCAGAGGCAGGTTGCCTAAAATATTGACTGCTAACTTTGTCGAACTAATTTCTGCTTCCTTCACACAATCATCTATGGTTTTATTTATGGTGAGGTTGTGACGTCAGTCTGACTTTGCTGTACCCCTTGGTGAGTTTCTGGGTCTTCTTCCCCTCACATCTTTTGGGTGTGTGTTGAGGAAGTTGAGAATCATCTTGCTATTGTCTAACCAAGAACAGTGACATCTGCTGTAGTGGTAACGACAGGCGGCGTTCTAAGCCTGTGCCTTAGAGCATCTGCTCTGTGGAACATGTGTCTTCATTTCCAGGATGAGCAAAAGCCTTAGTAGGAGCTGCCTTCCCTTGAAGTGTCTGCAGGTCCTTCTGGTTTCTTAAGGGAATTCCTGAAGACCATGCCTTTGACTGTAGGATATTCATTGTCTTTCCTAGGAAAATCTGGAGGGCTGAAGAAGAGATGGAGCTGTTTCCCAGCCTGAACAGGACTTCTTTGCCTGATTGGATGATTACCTCTGCTGATTAAAATCAAGAAACAACCAAATTAAAACGCTCTTTCTCTTGGACAGCACTGAATTTAGCTGAATAATCTCTTTTCTACTGATTGTTAAAGTTAGGAGCATCTCCCAGAGGTCTACAGAGATTTTTATACTGTTTTTACATGAGGGGGCTTCCACAGTGACGCAGTAGTTTTAATGAGATTTTTAGTGCAACAAATACCTCCAGATGCAAAGTAATGACTTTAGAAGTGGAGTTCCAGGCAACAGGGCAGGTTGCTGGAGATAGTGTGGGGAAAGGGAGCCCACAGTGAACCATTCTATCAGATTTAGCGCCATCCTCCGATAAGGCATCTTGTCTACTAATTTTGCAGTCTAAAGCATTCCAGGGAGATCTTTGGTTTAGAAAATCTTGTTATTTTAAGTTGAGGATTTTCTTTTAAATTCATAACGTAAATGTCATGTTAATTTCACTGGAGCCAAATTATTTTATGTATTGTCAAGGCTGGAATCAAGAAAATAGCAGTCTGTTCATCTGCTTTTCTATTAGAAAGGCCAAAGAGCAACAGAGCACTCACTGAATTTCTATCACTACAGAATACAGGAAGTGCTGGCCCCCTTCTGGGACTGTAGGGCCATCCTAGCTTAGATGAAGTTAGCTGTGTACATGCCACAGTGTTTCTCAAAGTGCGGTTCACTTACCACTTGTGAACCATATACGTTGCTAATTTCCAGGCTGCATCCCTAGAGATTCTGTTTTGGTAGGGGTAGTCTGGGGCCTAGGATCCTACCTTTTAATTGGTCCCACTGGTGATTCTGATGTGCATACAAATTTTGAGAACCATCACGTTTGAGCAAGGGTTGGGGAATTACAGCCCACAGACCAAATCAGCCCACAGCTTTTTTTTTTTTAAAGAAAGTTTTTTTGGAATGCAACTACACTCACTTGTTTACATATTACCTATGGCTGTTGTAGCATTGCGACTGTAGAGTTGAGTTATGGCAGACACCATATAGCCTGTCCTGTAAAACCTAAAATATCTACTGTCTGGCCCTTTAAGTTTTCAGACCTCTGCTCTAGAGCTCCATGACCATTTCTCCTTGAGTAATTTAAACTCTACTGCAATCCTGATAATTCCAAAAGAAACCGTACATAGGATGACTCTTTTTTTCAGAATTTAGTTTGAGTGTTTGTTAGTTCTTGCATAGTCCACACTTTCTCTAAAACCTTTGGCAAATCAGTGAACTCCGGGACTCCTGAGTATTTGATAGAGGTGTGTATTTCCTTGGTCCTGCCACAAGCAATTGGAAGTGATTGGAAGTAAAACATATGGTTTCTATGGTCTGTGTATCACATAACAGTTCTTAATAATCTCATGGATTAATAGATAGTCATCAAGTAGAGACTTCTTCATCTCTAAGCTCCAGAAACTAGATGACTTACCTAAACATCAAGAAGAAAAGCACTACTGTTTAAGCGAGGCGTTAATGGCTTTGGCTTAAATTTAACAAAGCTAACCACATCCCCTCCCTTCAACCAGCCAGCTATCTGGCTCCTCCAGATGTACAGACATAAACATATAGTGCTGCTAATATATTTTGACTTTTTCAAGTTATGCTATTTCCTCTATTTTTCAATAAATTAGGTTGGCAATCCAGAAATGAGATTTCATGTTTCTTTTTAGTAGAAATTAGCTTTTCTTGCTACCAACTTCAGATACTTTATGTATTTCTTTGTCCCTTACATTACTATAAACCCAACATGGTGAGTTTTGTGGTATTTGACCTCTTAGGTGAAATCATTATTTTCACTTTGACTAACGCTGTGCTGTTCATGAAATAAAATTCTCTCTGTGCATTTGATCTAATTCTCAGCAAGTGCAATCTAAATTGAATGATACAGCAACAGGAAGCAGATTGGTGGTTGCCAAGGGCAGAGATTGGGGATTGGGGTAGAGAAAATAGGTGAAGGTGGTCAAAGGGCACAAACTTCTATGAGATGAAAAGTTCTGCGGATGAAATGTATAGCATGTTGACTATAGTTAACAATCTTGTTCAGTCACCAGTCGTGTCCAACTGTTTTGCAACCACATGGACTGTAGGCTTCTCTGTCTGTAGGATTTCCCAGGCAAGAATACCAGAATAGGTTGCCATTTTCTCCTCCAGGGGATCTTCCTGATCCAGAGTATGAACTCATGTTTCCCGCATTGCAGACGGATTCTTTACTGCTGAGTCACCAGGGAAGCACATGGTTAACAATACTATAATATATATTTGAATCTAATGGAGCAGATTTTTAAAATTCTCAACACACACACACAAATTGTAGCTACATAAGGTGATAGGTTTGTTAACTAACTTTATTATGGTGATCATTTTACAAAGATAAATATCAAATCATTGCATTGTATGCCTTAAATTTACACAATATTATATCTCAATAAAAATGGATAAAAATAAATTGAATGATAAGTATTAGAGGTCAGCAGTGCCCTCTTTTTATTCTTCCCCCTCTTAGCCATGCCAGCTCCCTTTTTTGTTCTATGTTGCCCACAAAACATCAGAATGTGAATCTAGCTCCAAGTATACTATACTATCTTTCTTGGGTTCCATGCCACTCAGCTTGTAGGACCTTAGTTCCCCAACAGGGCCACAGCAGTGAAGGTGCAGGGTCCTAACCACTGGACCACCAAGGAGTTCCCCTGTTCTGTAATGCCTTGAGACAGAGGATATGGTGCTAGGCAAATAGATAAGGCAGCTCTGGCCTGGGTGTTGTGTTTGTTGCTAGGCCACCGTCTGTCCTAGGAGAGCTGAAGTGATTTGGGCTGCATGAAAGAGATACTGTAGCCCAGAAATCATGAATGCATTTAGACTGTCTGATTTTAACAACTTGATTTCACCGTAGACAAACCATGTGACATCGGGCAAGTAATCCAACTCCTTTGTGCCTGTGTTCCCACGATAGGATTATTGTGAGGGATAAATGATAAATACACTTTGTGAAGGGTTTAGCCTAATGCCTGGAATATGTTAAGCACTGCTTGAACAATTTGGAGATCCTGTGATTTGAAATTCATAAAGTTCTAGCTTGACTTTTTTCTCTTCATTAATTCTGCCTCCCACAAAAGCAAACCAGTCTTATTTTACATTTCACCTTAATGTGATTCCTAAATCTGACTTATTTTCCTTCTTCCTAAATCCATACCCACAAACTCTCTTTATTTCTATCGACCTTTCTTATCCCCACACTTTCTCAGATTGCCATCCAACTAACTCAAAGCCTCAGTCATTTTTCCCTTCTCCCTCTTTCCAGTTCTATGCCCCTGGTTAGTCTTTCTCACTGTTCCTTCCTATTTTGTCCTGATTCTTCCTACAAGAATTTATTACCACCTGCTGGGACTACTGATAAAACCTAGTTATGCTTTCAATTGATCATCCTGTTGCAAGCTTGACCCATTCCAGTCTGTCCCATATATTACCACCAAGTTGGCCAAAGCTGTGACTTATTTTTTTTTTTTTGTCCCTTTTTGGATATGGTATAATTCATTTTGAAATTTTACATGCCACTGAACAAGATTTTAAAACTTTATTAAAATGTATCAGGACTTCCCTGGTGGTGCAGTGGTTAAGAATCTGCCTGCCAGTGCAGAAGACATGGATTCCATCTCTGGTCCAGGAAGACTCCACACAGTGCAGGGCAACTAAGCCCATGTGCCACAACTACTGAGCCCACATTCTAGAGCGTGTGCCCCACAACAAGAGAAGCCACTGTGGTGAGAGGCTTGTGCACCACAACTAGGGAGTAGCGCTCACTCGCTGCAACTAGAGAAAGCCCGTGTAGCAACGAAGACCCAGCACACCAAAAACAAATAACTAAAAAGTAAAATAAAAGTTCCTTTAAAAATGTATCAGATGGGAGCACTTACTATTTAAAAACTAAGAATCATTTTCCCAAAGCATTGCTTTGATTACCATTCCCTTGAAATCTTTCAGTAGAAGGTAATTGGATGTATTCATTACCTTGGTGATGGTCTCATGAGTGTGTACACATACCAAAACTTATCAAATCTACACTTTGACATGTGTAGTTTATCGTATGTCAGTACTACCTCAATAAAGTTTTTTTTTTTTTTTTTAATCAGTGTTTTCCCATTTCCCATCAAATAAAGCCTGACTTTTCAGCCTGGTATTCAAGTTCCCTCAGGGTCTGGGACCAGCTGTCTTTTCTAGTGTTACAAATCAAGACTCTTTTCTGTATAACCCATACTCCAGTCAAACTGAGCCATCATTACGCCATCCTCTACCTACTGTTCTCTGTTTTCTATTGCTTTCTCTCAGGCTGTACAGATATCTTCAAGACCCAATTCAAATGTTACTTCCTCTGTGAAGACTGTACAGATAAGGGATTTCCCTGGTGGTCCAGTGGCTAAGACTCCACAGTCCCAAAGCAGAGGGCCTGGGTTTGATCTCTGCTCAGGGAACTAGATCCCACAAGCTTGCATGCTGCACCTGAAGATCCCACATGTTTTGACAAAGATCGAAGATCCTAAGTGCAGCAACTAAAACCTGGGGCAGCCAAATAAATAAATAATTTGTTTAAAGGCTATCTAGATAATCCAAGTAAGAAGTGATCTTTACCTTCTCATGATAATTTTTTTTTCTGGCTCTGATCCTGACTGTCTTCTCATAATTTTGTTTGCACCACAGATGGTGCTTATTTGTGCGCTTACCTTTTTTGGACATAGTTGGCTTTTTAAGCAACCTCTACATCTGTTTTACTTTGATAGTATATTTCACAGGGTCCTTAACACTAGGCAGATCTCTCCATTCTTACCACTTGTGAAGAACATGAGCCAGGCAAGGCTCATTCTTTACACCTTGCTGATTATTTAAGCTCCTTCTTTTGGTCTGCTTTCTAATTGCTTTTGAGCCAGTTCAAAAAACTCTTGTTTTTTA